TGTAGTTTCCTGACAGAAATGTAATCTATGCTTTTTGGGAATTCTGTGAGACAAGTTTCATATTTAAAAACATTATCTTTATCTTTAGAAAAAAATGTCGATGCTGTTTTTTCTCAATTCTGGGTGCCTTTGTGGAAGTGTTTTACATGAGGAAGTTGCAGGAAATTTGAAAAGCTGATTACTGTCATCAAGATTTTCTGTCCTCCATCTGCCTTCAATATCTTCAATTACATGAGTTTTAAGAAATTTTCAAAATAGTTGAATACTATGTTGCCTTGTAACTTCAGGACTAAAATTGCTATTATTTCTTAAATAAAACCTGCTGTAAAGCAGTTGCCATAATTTTTTAAGTGTTTCCTCAGGGGCATTACAACTAGGAAAGATGTGGTCACTTCATTCCACAGCTTGGTGGCCCAGTAGGGCCCAGGAACACCCCCACACACATGGGCTGTCAGTGTGCTGCGGCATCCATGGCAGTGGAGGGGACAACTGGGGATACGGCTCTGGCGACCTCTTCTTTTTTAAGTTCTCTATTTTTTCCTCTTCTCCCTTTTAACTTTCTTACTTTAGGGTAAAATTGCATTACTGAGTGGATATTTACTATATGTAATTTGCTGATTTGCCCTAGATTTTGTTTTATAACTATAAATCTTGTACATATGGTTAAAAGTGGCAAATTATTAGTTATCACAGTTTATCATTTTCCAGTCTATTTGATGTTACCATTATTGCTAATTATACTACTTTAGACAAGATGGCATAATTGCTGTTATCAATTGATCTTACTTTTATGCCAATACTTAGATTGTTGAGGGTACATAAACAATATTATAGTCCAGTACCAATGAACTTGGTGCTATAGCAAACAGGCTGCAACCTTTCATCCTTAATAAACAGAAGAGGCAGGATCCTGGGACAGACTCACAGGCCAAGAGCCAGCTGCCCCTAGAAGACATCTCTGCAAAGTAGTCATTTCCTAAAGAGGTCTTGATACTAGTAATCTATCTATCACAAGCAATTTACAAGCATCAATGCAGAAAACAAATAAACAAACAAACAAAAAGTCCAATACCCCTTCACAATAAAAATCCTACAGACAATTGGAATAGAAGGTCTTTATCTCAATTTATGACAAACCAACAGTCAACATCATACTAAATGGTCAAAAACTGAAAGACTTCACTCTAAAGTCAGGAACAAGACAGGGATGTCCACTATCACCACTCCTGTTCAATATACTTCTGGAAAAATTACCTAGAGCAATTAGACAAGAGAGAGGAATAAAAGAAACATGGACAGGAAAGGAAGAAATTAAATCATCATTAATTGTGGATGACATGATACTTTACATAGAAGCCTCCAAAGACTCCACCAAAAGGCTCTTAGAATGAACCAAATTCAGTAGTGTATCAGGATACAAAGTCAACAATCAAAATTCAAAAGAACTCCTGTACAAAATGAGAAATTAAGGAAGCAACATATTTCACAATAGAATCAAGAAAAATGAAATACTTAGGAATCAATCTAACAAGTGAAAGACTTTTACATTGAAAAGTACAGTACTCTGAAAAAGGAGATCAAAGAAGCTATCAGAAAATGGAAAGCTATCTCTTGTTCTTGGATAGGCAGAATGAATAAGTGAAAATCGTCATACTCTCAAAAATGTTATACAGATTTAATGCAATCCCAATCAAAATACCTACAGCATACTTCACAGAAGTTGAGAAGACAATCTTAAAATTCATATGAAACCATAAAAGACCCAGAATAGCAAAAGCAATACTGGGCATTAAGGGCAAGACAGAGCGCATCACAATTCTTGATTTGAAGTTATATTGCTACCGTGATAAAAACAGCATAGTATTGGCACACACGCACACACACAAAAAGACCAGACCTGAGGATTAATGGAACAAAGTAGAAGATACAGCACACTCAGATACCCTATTTTTAACAAAGGAACCAAACACTTTCACTAGAAGATAGCCTCTTTAACAAATGGTGCCAGGAAAACTGGCTTTCCACATACCAAAGACTGAACCTAGACCCATACACCTAGACCCTTCACCATGCACTAAACTAAAATCAATATGGATCAAATATCTGAAAATTAAAACAGAAACACTTAATCTTCTGGTAGAAAGAATAGGTAATATTCTTGAAGACACAGGTGTAAGGAAAGGCTTTATGAACAAAATCCCGATCACACAAGAAATATTGCAAAGGATCAACAATTCTTATCACATCAAATTCAAAAGCTTTTGCACAACGAAAGAAACCACTAGCAGAGTGAAAAGACAACCCACAGGATGGGAAAAGATTTTGACCAGCTACTTAAAGTAATAATACCTAGTACACATAAGGAACTCAAAAAAATCAGACACCCTCAAATTTGAAGACCCAATCCAAACATGGACGTCTGAAATGAATAGACATTTCTTAGATGAAGAAGTACAAACAGCCAATAAATATATGAAAAAAATGTTCAATATCACTGGTCATTCAGAAAATGCAAATTAAAATAGCACTGAGATTCCATCTTACTCCAAAAAGAAGGACTATCATCAAGAAATCAACCAATAACAAATGCTGGTGAGGCAGTAGGGAAAAGGGAATCCTTGTCCATTGTTGGTGGGAGTGTAAACTGGTACAACCACTATGGAAATCAGTGTGGAGATTCCTCAAAAAACTAAAACTTGGGGTTCCATTTGACTCAGCTATTCCTTTTCCAGCCATCTTCCTGAAAGAGTTAAAAGCATCATACCACAGTGATATATGCATACTGATGTTTATAATAGCACAATTTAGAAAAGCTAAATCTTGGAAGCAGCTCCAATTCTCATTATCAGATGAATGGATAAAGAAACTATGATATTTATATATAACAGTACTCAGCCATAAAAAAGGAGAAACTTGAGTCATTTGTAGTTAAATGGATGCACCTCAAGACCATAATTGTAATTGAAATAAATAAGACATAAAAGTTTAAATATCTCAATGTTTCTCTTGTATGAAAACCCTAAGGGTAAATGAGGAGCAAAATAAAGAATAGATATTAGGAAGTAGGAAGAAAATGTTCAAATGGGATGGGGGATAAAAGAGGGAGGAGGGGGGAAGGGAAGGAAAGGAAAAAGGATTTTTAAAAAGAGAATGAAAGAAAGGCTCTCTAAATGAGGAGGGGAAGAAGAGTTGAAGGGAAGGGAGGAAAATGAAAAAAAATTAAGGTATATTATGTACAGGTACAAACTTCTTACAGTGAATGTGAGCATTATGTATGGCAAATATGTACTAATAAAAATGTTTTTCCAAAGGGAATCTATGCTCAATACCTGAACAGTGCCTTATATTTCTGGGACAAGTGAGAGGAAAGATACTGTCCTATTGCTCTTCACAAACATATGATGACAGGGTAACATGGCAAGAGTGAGCAAAGGGGTTGCAAGCCTGTGGCATAGGGACTATTTATTTATCCAGAAGAGGAGGAAGTAGGGGATGATGCTGTCTGGAATACTGTGGAACGGACATGTAGAACAGTTGTTTTCCAGCCTTGTGGATTGGGAGTATCATCATTTGGAGCTACTTTCTTCCCCTGGTGTTGCCAATAACTGACCTACTAACTTCATTGGCCTATCTTTAATGAGGTGATTTCTGTGAAAATGCATTGGAATATAAAATATTATATTTGTGTATATAGCTAAAGGATTCCTTCGCAGAAAAGGCATCAGCTTATTGTTACTTCTGCCTGAGAGAACAAAACAAAGACTACTGATAAGTGCCACCAGGAAGCCAACTGAATATAATGGAAAAATAGAACTGTAGAGTTTGGAAAATGGTCATTGGCTGCCTTATAAGGAAATGAGCTCACCAACCATGGAAGTGTTCAAGCAGTGGTTGGATTATTTATTCCAGGCTAATCATGTCAAATTGAGGAGGCACCTACACTGAAGGAAGAAGCCTACAGATCTTTGGGAAATCTAAGGCTCTGTGACCTACCACTAACAGGTCACATGATCTGAAATATGCCAACATGGTGGCGATGTTACATTGGTTTACACGCACATTCACTCACTCTGCCCTTCTGAGAATCCCTTCCTCATACATGTCTCTTATGTCTGGAAGGTTCAAATTAGAATGAGGCTAGCTGAGAGCTCAGGTACTGAGAGTTTGGCCTCATTTTACCACATTAAGCTAACAATTTATTGAGTTCTTTCTGGTACCTTCTGTGCTAGCCCTGATTCTAGTTAATGGAGATACAAAGAGGATTCACGGCCCAACCTCAGTGTTATGTTCCTACAAAAAAAAAACAAAAAAAAAAAACAAAAAAAAAAA